GACGAAACACGTGACTACTACAATGTCCCATCATTCAACAGCATCGAAGACGACCCTGAGGGAATCGAAGACGAAGTTTTCGACGGAATATTTGGCGAAAAAAAGGAAAAGGAAGACCAGGAAAAGTTAGTGAATGGGGGCTGTCATGGGGATAGTGATAAGGACGACAAAGATTCCGAGCCAGAAAAACACGATGATGAGTCAAAGGAAAAACCGAGGGACATCGGTCTTGGTGATATTGAAGCGTTACTCTATCGGAGGCAGTACAATACCAGTTCTTTTTCAACTTAAACGGACTTGAAAAGTCGAGRGTAATGTTGGAACCTGGGAACAACGATAACTAAGTGCAACAACTCCATTCTCGYACCCAGACCTTTTTTCATCTTCCTATCTGGGTACAATGCAACAACCATTAAATATATGGAACTAAACGATAGACAAAATGACTCTGCTTTTAAGAAGAAAATATATATATATCAAGTTCTACTGAACGGTAAAATATCATGTAAGTTGTATAAATATTCAATTGCAAATTATCCAATAGTAATTCAGTCACATCCTCTAGCTTTCTGCACATAACGGGGCAATTGTGCAAAATATTATGAAATAGATATCTTATATCAGTACGAAAACCGCGAAAAATGAGACCATTGCTTATCTGAATAAAGTAAAAATAAATGGAAAACATTATCAAAAGTAGTGAATATTTTTAAAATTAAAATTTTGACTTTATTGTGTATTGTATTCAGTACGCAGCATTCCGCAACGTTCTTTCAATTCCAACGTAAACGCGATAAGATCCTGATTGTGTTATAGTCAAAAAGATCAACATTTACTATACTGTAGTAGGCATACACGTGTCTTGACTCTGTACTTATTAACTTTGCAATAAGATCACATCTAGAACGTATATATTTATTGATGCATCCACAGCGCGGGCCCCTTCATGCGCACAATCATWTTGGGATGATCTCAATCCATCAATTATTTGCTGCGACGTTATGGTTGCTTGACGTAGTGCGTCTGTGTGCATTAGTTATCGCTCTTTACGGCGGTAACCTTTAAGTAACGTTATGTTTGATAACGTAGGGTAGCTTGTTTTTAGTCCCTCTATAAAAGACCAAAGGCACTTGAAATGTGCCGAGAAAAATTAAGCATTCGGGATTTAGTTTTCGGGAGTAGCGCTAGCTCTCGTATAGTTACTACATAGGGACACCCCGCCCCATGGAAACATAAGCACTAACACGTATAAAATATTAAAACATTATTTTTAGAATGTAATAAATGCATGCATGATGTGTTCAAGCGTTAAGGTGATGTTCTGGTTGATAAACAAGGGGCGTTTGTTTTCGAGTGAAGATCTTTAGCTAAGACGTAAAGCCGAGCGAACTACACGAAATAGAAAAACGTGTAAACAAGATATGAAAACACCGAAAACAGAAATCATGGAGAATAATATTAAATGATTTCATGGAGTTTTGCGCAAAATATGCTTTAGCTAATGCTTGAGGTTGACAYATAACACATATCAAGGACGATACACTGATGTGCAATAAACCCTTTTAAGCGTGGATTTCACTAGCGCATAAGCATAGCATAAGCACAAGCATGAGAATCATATGCGCCAGTGAGAACGGGCTGGACTAAGCATAAGACATGCGCACGAGCGTACTATTTCGGTACCAGGCTATGCTTATGCCTATGCAGTCCCATTTTCACTGAGCATAAGCATGAGATAAGCACAAGAAGATCAAGCCTTGCTCGTTTTTCTTGTGTTCATGCTTATGCTTATTTTGAGCCCGTTCTCACTGCCGCATATGACTCGCGTGCTTCGTTCTTATGCCTATGCTTATGCGCTAGTGAAATCCACGCTATTTTAGCGATCTCTTTTACGCTGTGTTAGCCTCAAAACCATGTAATAAATTCTTTTATTCACAACAACCCGTGCAAATGCAAGAGATCTGTGAGTGTAGAAGACAACGGAAATAGTTTGAAATCTCACGAGTTTTATCTACATTTCTGAATATTTTAGCACACAATTGAGGCTAACACAGCGTAAAAGAGATCGCGAAACGCGACTATTTTCGCGCCGGGACACATTGATATGAACTGAAACGATGACATTGTTTATTGATTGTGAGCTATTGCCGCAGTGATACTCCTATAGAATTTTAAAACAGCTCATTATAATTTGGTTAGTGTAAATTAATAAGATGCAATGACAAAACCAAAAACTTGTGTCTGATGAAAAACGGCGAACTCCTTAAACAAATAATATAGTTTCATCTTTTTTAAAACACAATGAGCCATGTTTGGTATTCGGTTTTGAAGGTCCCACATTATTGATGACAGTTTACTGCAACATTTTTATAGTCTTTTACGATACTGAACTTTGACAATT